ATTTGTTGATTAAAATCACGAGTTACCGGCTCAACGAGTATGGAAAATTGACGTGGACCAAGTGTAAAACAGGTTTGTTAATTACTTCGCATTCCGTGTGGACATTGGCTAGAGATGGACCAACCAAGAGGGTCGGTTAATCAACCAGTCGATAATCTCAAAAGTCAGGCTTCCGTAACTGCAGCAAATCGATAATTGCACAAGTGTTTGGACTGAGGATAAATTACTGTAATCTTCGAGGTCTCAATTAACAGTGCTGATTTCCTATTTTATTGATTTCTCTGGAATTATCTTGCTTTCTTGCACACGAGTTTCAGCCAATAGCTTGGCAATTCTGTAATTCTGCTGATAAGTTTGTCTCCTACTTGTTTAAATGCGTCGATCTGCAAGAGGTAAGTTAGAATTAAGCAATATGCAGTCAAAACAGAAGGCTGCACTCCTCAGCCCTTACCTGCAACGGCGCGTGGTTTCCCAATTCCAGGCCAGCTCCTGCTCATGGGTGAATGTAGGGGGGTGGGGCAGGCGTAATATAACACCTAACCACTTGTGTGGTTATAGTGCGTAGGGGGGGGGTGAAATGGTACTCGGAAAAGTATTCCCACAAGTATGCTTTTACACAGCCCCTACAACAGGTGGCTAGCTTGCTCACACCACGCAGAACCTTCAAGAAACGTGGGTCCCTTCCGGAAGTCGCGTACCTCAGACACTTCCGCATGCGTCACCATCAGCTGCTTCCACTGGATCCCATCGGATTTCAGCCATCGAAATCAAACCAGAAGCAGATCAGGGAACCACCGATTTATGTGGTGTTGAGAAACTAAGAGACTTCAACGGCTTGTGCTCGATTCGAAACAAAATGATGTGCAACACAGTTATGTACTCTCAATCACTGACCATAACTGTTTCTCATCACTTTGCAAACCCTCTTTGTAGAAACTGCGTGGTTTCGCTTCTCAGAGAGGCATGACTTGGGTTTTCACTGCTTCCACCAAATCTAATCATTTTGCAGGAAACGGAATGGATGGAGATGGGATGGGGTAAGGTCAGGGGGATACGGTGGGTGGTGGTGCAGGAGTTCTCACTCGGATACTCCACAATTTGCAGTGCCCGTTGATAGACATGCGGTCTGGCGTTGTTGTGGTGAATGGTAATCCCTTCCGGACTAATCAGGTGCAAAATTTGACATGTTATTTCTGTATTACCATTTGTTTTACTATACTGGTTGTGTTGGAACACTATTCAAGCTTTGCACTAGTGCTGGGCGAGTGCGCCTGCTGTACACATTTACTGTTTATTCTACCCATTGCTTAGGGTAAATACTGAGGCAGCTATTTTCAGTTCTTCGATTAAAGCGCGCATATCCACTTGTGTTTCACGGTGCGTGATTTAAAACAAATTTGACCCAACCCCAACATTGAGTTGGGTGATTTGCCCACAGTCCTACTCCACAATCGATGTTCGGACACGTGGAGAAGCTCCTTCAAAAGAGATCACCCTAAACCACAAACATTCCAGCAATTTTATTCGACGAATTGCACAATTTGTCTTGTATTTCCACGCCTTCAG